GTTCACGGGAAGCGCAGCCACCACCGCAGCAGCCAGCAGCAGACGCAAAGTTAAGCGCAAGGAATGGAATAAAGTCAGCCATTTATTCGTGTTTCTTTTTGGAGGATGGAAGATGCCTGCATATGTTGTTATTGTCTTTGCGGAGGGTAAACCTTCATGCCTGCATCGTGTGTTGGGGGTTCCTGCAGTGTGCACAACTGTTTTCTTCTCTTGAGAATTTTTATTGTGTTGGTGCAGCCAATAATTCAATTTGTGTTGTTCCTGCTTTTCGCTGGTAAGGTGCTGCAATAGATGTTTTTATTTCCTCCTTCGTTGCTGTGGCACATGATTCCTCACCGTTTATTGCGGTGGAAATAAATAATATGTGAGTGGACTCCCACACACCAGAGCGCACCTTCGCTCCCATTTATTGGTGCATGGAAGGGCATGTCTGTTTGGTGGTGTCTCGTCCATATATTTTGTGGGTGTACATTCCCCTGCAGGCTGAGGGCGGGGTGACGCTCCGTCGCGGTGCACTTCCCTCGCATGCCGCCCGCTGTGATTCATCATGCATCACCCCCTCACTCACATTCCCCGTGGTGCCACACCGTCGATATTATTGCAGCCGCTGTGATTCCGCGTATTTCACGCATTTGATTGTGCCACAATACATCCGCTCGTGTGGCCGCCGCATCCAAACAGCGGTGCCCAACACCGTGAGCGGCAGTCCACATCCTTGCATGTCCCAACGCAGTGGTGTTGGACTGTCAGTCAGGCGTCGGACAACAGGAGAGTATTGTGCTGGCAGCACAGCACATGGAGCTGCAGTGAATGACTCGGGCGGTGACGCATCTATTTGTCGCAAGGCAGTGAAAAGGAGTCGGGCAAAATAATGCCGGCTGCATGCACGACACCATATCCACAGCCAAAGCATGCGACGTGATGTGTGTTTCACTGGTGCTGTGAAATGCCTGCAGACGACGTCACTAGTGGAGGCGCACCACTCATGATCAGCGGACAGACAATAATCGGCATGGGAAGCCACAAAAGGCAGCAACGACGCCAGCAGCAGCAGCAGCTCTCTCTCTCTGTTGCCTCCGAGAAGTAAATATTCCACCAGCCACAGCTGACTGTGCCATCGTGACACTCCATGCACGTCGTGGCTGCGCCAACACATCCTGTTCCCTGCAGCGCCTCAAAAGATGCCTCACTCCGTCCACTAAGTGCATCGATGTGGGCCGTACCTCGGCTGTTCGTGAGGACCACAACGATGTGAGGGTCACCGAGTCGCAGCATGTTTCTTGTGACGTTGTTGCATGGCACCTGCACACACACACGCAGCGCCTGCATCCCTCCCGTTTGCGTTCGCCCTCTGCCGGAGTGGCCACACACACGGGCAGCAGCAAAATCACTTCACCCTCGACGACCCAAAATCAACACCGACATCCCTCGCGACGCAAAGATCTCAGTTGCCAGCACGGGCTTCCTGCCGCTCTGCCATCGACGCTGAAACACGGCACAGTGCACGCACTTATTTTCCTCGTGTGCAGTCAGCCGTTTGCTTCACACATTCTTCGATGGGCTGACGTCCATAAAAGCACGCCACAAAAGCCACTGTGATCGCACAAGCTATTGCGATGAGCGTCTGTGTGTGCATGCATCCGCTGCTCACACGTGCTGGCAAGCAGCCTGCAGCCGGTGCCCTCGTGCCAGTTCATCGGCTCCAGCACGGAAAAGAGAAAATGGCCTATTCCTCATGCACTTATTCCCACCGGCAGTGCCAACACGCTGGTCGCCAGCCGTCATTCCTCAGCACATCCAGGAATGCTGAAAAGTGACGTGGAACTGTCAGCCAACAATGCCACAATCCCCGCACACATGTCGGCTCCACCAGAGAAGACAAAAAAACTACAAACAACACCCCTCACAAGTCATCCGAACATCATTCCGACACACCGCGACACGCCAAACAGAAGTATTCGTCACTCCATGCACCTCCCCACACAATCAAATAGTCAATGCCCCACGCACGGCAGCAGCTCACACGCACTCAAACAAATGTTCCTCGGATCAGTGTTATCCACGTGCTGCGACGGGAAGTAAAAAAAAGAGACGAGCGGCCAGACCACAAAAGAGTGCAACGACCGGCCGCAAGTAAACGGAACGCTGCCACTCAAAACAATTCCGTCCTAATGCCCTCAACCTCCCACCTTCTCCCACAAAAGCCCCAAGTGCTGCCAATCAAGCGCGCCGTCCAAGAAAGTCGCTGTGCAAGATCAGGAGGAATCGCAGTGCCTCCTGCTGCCATCCGGGTCCGTTGTGGACGCCATGATGAGTAGAAACGCCCATTGGTGCTTTGAAACGACGCTGCACACCTGCGACGCATCATACGGTTTGAGACGCACGTGCCTCACAAGCACCACAGACGCCCACGCGCCGTCGGTACGCCCTACATCGTCAAGGAAACAGAGGATACGTCAGGGTGGCAGCAAAGCACCCGCTGGCAATTCACGTCGCAGGCATCATCACAAGCAGCTCCAGCAGCGCTGCAGACCGTGGGGTGACGTGGATCAACTGACGCATGGCGTATGTGGAAAAGAAAAAGACGTGGTGGCTTTACAAGGATACGAGTGGCTGACACTTTTAGAAGGAGAAAGAAAACAATGTGAGAACACACAAAGAGGAATCAGGCGTCCGCAGTCAAAGCAAACCAGCAATCAAAAAAAGTAGGATGGGTGCACTCAACCACAACACAGGCAGAGGATAAAAAATACCAACAACAAAAGCCGAAGCGTGGGGGCGTCCACCCAGCAGTGGGGACGCGCAGCAACAGGTGGGACGACCAGCGCACACACTCTCCCATTGCTCCCGTAAAGCAAAACACACACACAGGGAGAAAGAGAGAGAGAGGTCGCCCACTCAATGCAATGAAAACAAAACAGAAACAGTTACGGTGCTCCGCCCATGCAGCCAGGCAGGACGGCAGCGGTGCGTGTGGTGCAAAAGAGAGCACCAACGGGCCTGCATGGGTGTGCATGCATATATACAATGGGCACATTATGTGTGTGCCTCGTGGGATGAGGTGAGGGCGAGAGTCCATGCAAGGGGACACACACAGAGAGTGGGTGAAGGACGGGTGTGTGTGCGGACGGTGCATGGCGCTCTCTCACTCACTCTCACGCAGCTACCACCGCAGCAGCAGCCGCACACGCAACGACAAGAAGAAGCAAAAGAGGGGAGGTGGTGTGGGAAACTGTGGTGCTGCCGTCACTGTCTCCAGGTGTATTCTTATCATTTGTTGGAGCGGTGGTGAGTGGTATTGCTGTTTGTGGTAGTGCCTCAGTGGCTGTAAAAGCAGGATTCGTATTTTGAGGTTCGGGGTCTTTGTGTGTTTCTTTATGATTGGTCTGTTGAGCATTATCAGCATCCTTACTCGCTACACTCTTTGTATCAGCATCGCCACTTGTAGAGATGGGTGAAGCTGTTGTTTCCACTAAGCTGCTGGCAGCTTCGTCCCTCACCGAATCCGATGTTGCTGTGCCCTCAGTGTTTTGATCTTCTGCGTCATCCTTTGAGGGCGTTTCTTGCCCCAAAAGCTCCTTTTGGGTTTCTGACGGTGACGATTGGTGAATTTCTCTGTTGAAATTTGTAAGTCTTTTGCTGCTGGGGTTCCTCCTGCTGAATTTGCCGGTGGTGGTGGTGCTTTCTTGGAGTCTCTTTCTTCTTTTTCTCGACTATGTGGGTCTGTTGTGCGTTCTTTTCCTGCGGGCACTATTATTGGTTCGGTTTTTGGTTGTTCTTGTGGAGCTGGTTGCAATGTTGTTGATTGTGTGTCGCTGGAAGGTCCCCCCGTCACTGCGGCCCTCTGCTTGTTCTCCTTTCCAGTTGCACCGCCATTAGCAACTTCATTTCCTGCGGTGTGTGGTTTAATAGAGGAATGGTTTTCTGCATTAGATGTTGACGCCTCTTGTCTATCCAAGTTGGGTTGTGCGGGTGCTGGAGGTTCTGCTGATTGTGACTTAACACTTTCTTCTGAGGAATCCATGCTCAGGGTGGCTGTCGTACCCTTGCCGCCCTGCAAAACATCACCGTCAACGGGATTAGGGGGTGAAAGCGTA